AATCAAGGTGCATTATAGACCCTGTTCTTGTCAAGTAGTCATCCTTTGTGTTAATATTAACAGTATCCTCGTGCACACGGCTGTTCGTGATATAATAAAATTGGTGAGAGATTTTGAAGAAGTTAAATATTCTACATCACTCACGTATGCCGAAAAGTACTTATTAGTATTATATGAAGAGACAACTTGGACTCAACGATTATGTGTTCTACACACCTTCTTTCTCAAGTCTCATCTCTTTGTGTCTTCTGCTACAACACTGCACGTGTTTTCAGATTGTGTTAGTCTTGAGTCAGCTAGTGAAACGTGAACCACTGGTAAGTTTTGGCATTTGGTTTTATACGGTCGTTGTGCAGAGTGACAAGGAACTTAATTGTCCTGCTGTAACTGAACTGGTTGCTAAGCCCATATCCCAAACATGAGGGAAGGGAGAAATCATTACTGCAGAAAATTAAGGAAGCGATGATGGAAATATCACACTATTTTTTGAGTTACAGTGAATTGTAATGTTGCTGTTGACAAGGGCATCGTAATCTCTTCTGCAAACAACTTTTGTCAGGGATTTATAACTCTGAAGAAATTTGTCTAGGCCTGAAACTTGGCATCACCTCATTTAACAAAGTACTAAATATGCTTTAAAGGCTTGTGTGTGTGGTGGGTGTTGATTTCTGTGATAAGTACAGCTATTTGCCCTTCAAACAGGTGACATTATATTTGCTTTGGGGGTTTGCCTAGACGCAAAAAGATTACAAGGACTTAAAGCAAAAGGATATCCTCTGTATAGAGGATACTGAGAAGAAAATCAGAGTGAAGGAACCTTTAAAACGAGATTAGCCAACAACCCTGGATTTCTGGTTTTGTGACTATACAAAGAAGTCGCAATGCCTTGAGTACAATTCGTGGGTAAAGCTTGTCTTTTCAGTAATGAACACTAAATGGCCCAAGAAGGCGTTCGCTATGGGCAGCACGTTAACACTTGCCACTCTTCCTGCTGTGAATGAGCCTGCTAATTGTCTCAGCTATTTATAAACTGGATTTAACAACTACAGCACCAGTCACAGAGTTTACTGTAATATATTCAGAATTTACTGTAATATATTCATATTGGTCTTTCCCTGTTGGTTTCATAAAATGGTCGTATAAGTTGACCTTTCTGTTGTGGAGGTATTAGAGAGTGGCAGTGATACAGATGCAACACCTTTCGTGTAGTCCATATTATATAGTTTTTCATGTAGTCCTTATTATATAGTTTTCAAAGGCTTCATTGATAAGGGATTCAGGCAGGAGAGCTATCACAAAACAAGTTTCTGGTTGTTTCATAACAAGATGCACCTATCAGACAGGATGTAAATGTGTTATTTTTAAGATCAAAGAACAGGTAGATAGTTTTGAAATGGGCTCGTTAAGTCAATAATGATCTGATAAAGCTGTCTTTCCTGATTTCTGGTGTACAGTTAATTGAAAAGATATTTAGCATTGATTTGATACCTCTCTATAAACATTCTCCCCACAAATAAGTGCAAGTATAGAAATGCAACTTTATTGGTCATCAGCCATGCTCTGTCCGCTATTCCAGAGTTTATAGTTCCCTTTGCTGTCCCCGTAGAATGGCTTTAAAGCTCACTCGGTGCACATTCAAACTTCTGGCATGTTGCAGTTGCTCTTTTATCTTTATAATAAAACATGTATTTAACAACAATTAAATGTTGAAACAGCTTGCTGGCAGATGGGTCGGATTTTCTATCTCCTGAAGTTTTAAAAAGTGTCTTTCAAAAATATGTTCATTTTATGGTCTATGTTATAGAGAATACTGGACTAGAGTATCAGCGTTTTTTCTTGACGTCATAGTTTATCCATATTTCTATTGTCTACTTTTTTGTATTCTGTATGTAGTATTTCCTTTATCCCATCTAAAATTACATTTAATACATAATCTTTAAGTCATGGCTACTTCCTTAACCAGCCAAATACCAAATAGAACTGGTAATATAGATTACATGGCACAAATGACTTGTGCCTTGAGAATCAGGAGATCCCTTTCTAAAATCACTGTTGGCATAGTTAAATACACTGTGGGCCCTAATCTCAGACACTTCGTGGTGAGTTGTGCTGTGTCCTTACACTCAAATAATGGACTTAGCAATATTAGTAGAAAAAGTGAAGGTGCCAACTGGGGTTACTCTTGCATTCTTTGCATTCTTTAACTGAAGCACATGGCGTTGCTAAGAAGATCCCATACACCAAAGACTGGTCTCGAATATAAAACTGAATTGAGTATTGATTTTTGTTTTAGTTCATTTAGTTGTTTGGGTTTTTTTCTGGAGTGAGGTAACTGGTTTTGGTGCTTTGTATGAAAATTGAATTGCTGAGATACTAAGCTGTGGAATGTGGTTACTACTCATCTGCATTAACAACCATTTAAAGAAATTTCATAGGAATTTTATTATGTGCTTATGTGTAGATTTAAATAACCTTTATTAATACACTCCATTGAACAATAACATACATTTTTAAAGTGTCATAAATGCAGAGAAAACTTAACTACCACGGATATGCAATGGTCACTAGTTATAAGTGCAGCAAGATTAATATTTGCCATGCAACTGCATCTGAAAAACTGCCTTAATTCCTATTCTATGGGTAATATTGTAGTAATCTGTTAAGGGTTTATTTATTTGGCTAAAGCAGTTAGTTTGTTAAATGACTGTAGTAATTCTAGAGTCAACGTTATGCATTTATGGAATACAGTAGTGATTTGTTTTGCTTTTAAAGGACAAAACACTTGCCTTTAAATTAATTTCTAATGAAAAGCAGTATGAAATGGATTTGGAAAGATGAGGTTGTTGGGCAGTTGTTATTATCTAGTAGTGACCTCTGTCATTGATCGTTTGCAAATTAATCCCTCCACCAACAAAACAGGAGGAGACAGAGTGAAAGGGCAGATAAATAGTTTGAAAATTGGTTAGCTCAATTTTCCAAAGAATATTAATAAATCACTTGATGTCCAGTTGGTGCTTGGTAAGAAGCTTAGTGCACCAGGGATCAATTCTGGGCTGATACGATTAAATATCTTCCTTAACAACCTGGGTGAGGAGACAGTGTGCTCCCTTGAGAAACCTCAAGGTGACGCACAACTGTGGGGGAAGAGGTTGTCCTGCTGGACTGTAGAGCTACAGTTCAGAGGGACCTTCACAAACCTGAGGTTTGGGCTAACAGAAAGGCCATGAAGTTCAGCCAGAATGGCTTTGCAGGCATAAGCCATTTGTTGACTCAACTGGAATTTAGAGACTAACACTTTTTATCATTATTTAAATAAATAATGCAGCTTTTCACACTAATTTAAGATGCTTTAGTTCAGCTCACGCTAAACTCTGTTGCTTCCACTGCATATAGAAAAATTTGGACTGCAGGTGGAGCATTGATTTGCAAAGTGCATACAATAGCTGCACTTGAAACGCATACCTCAAGTATGGGCTCTCTTGACTGTTCCTAGACTGCCTGACAGTTATAGGGGAGGGATATTTATATGGCTGTACAAGGGAATAGGATCTGTAAATTGGTATTGTATAGAGCAAGATAGTCTTTCAGTGGACAATAGGCTGTTTCATTATATCAGTGCTTTCTAACGGTTTGCTCTCTTCAGAGAGCTTCAAAAAGCTAAATTCTACTTTGTCATTAGAGTAGGTTCATCTATTATGTGGCCCCAATAAGGGGAGGGATATTTATATGGCTGTACAAGGGAATAGGATCTGTAAATTGGTATTGTATAGAGCAAGATAGTCTTTCAGTGGACAATAGGCTGTTTCATTATATCAGTGCTTTCTAACGGTTTGCTCTCTTCAGAGAGCTTCAAAAAGCTAAATTCTACTTTGTCATTAGAGTAGGTTCATCTATTATGTGGCCCCAATAAC